GCAGGAGCTGTTGTTCTAACTAAAATTCAAGAATGCCATCTTGCAAACCTAGGTGATCTCAGCTAAATGAACCACCGTCCTTCTTCTTTCCCCACTGCCTCTTGCAGGTCAGTTCAAGACTGCTCATAAGGGACAAAAACATTTAACTTTTTGAGTGATTTTCGAACTTTTAACCCTGGGATCCACAAGCTGGATTCCTGTCAAAAACAAGTAATGACATTCTTCCCATTTATAGCAAAATTTAAGTCAACTGATGGAATTTTTTTTATTTAAAAAAATTACTACTTTTGAAAAGGCTATATGTGCACATAGTAAAACATTAAAATGGAGGAATGGGGAATAACGCTTTTATACTCTGAAGATTCACATTTTCTTAGGTTTTTGTTAGATACTTTTATCAGATTAAGGAAATTCCCTACTATTATTTTATATCATAATTTTCAGTCAAATATTGTCTTATCTGAAACTATTGAGATGATATGACTTCTTTTGGTTAAAAAAGTCGGCAAGATGATAATTGGTATTTATACTTTTTATTTGTTAACCACCTTTGAGTTCCAGGATTAAATCCAATTTGGCCATGGTGTATAATCAGTGGTATATTTGGTTTGCTACTATTTTCTATAGACTTTTTGCATTGAAGCTCTTGAGTGAGACAGGCATGTGATCTTCCCCTCTTGTCCTATTTTGCATGATTTGGATCAAGCTGATACGCCTTCATAGATTGAGCTGAGCATGATGTGTTCTTTTTCAATTCTCTGGATTGATTTTATGTGACCCTTCAGTTTCTCTTGCCTTCCCCTCTGTGGTCACAGCCTCTAAGTCCGCTATCAGTGGTCCCTGCCTCCGAGTAGTTATGCCTCTCTGTAATGCCTTCTCCTTGGTAAGGGCCGGATCAGGTGCTTTGAATGAACAGAATATGACAGAAGGAATGGGATTCCATGTCTGAGATTAGGTTATAAAAAGACGGTGGCTTCCATCTTAGGTATTCTGTTTTACTCACTCATTCTGAGGGAAGCCAGCTGCCATGTTGTGAGCTGCCCTAAGGAGAGGCTCAGGTGGAGGGAGAAGTCGGGGAGGCTTCTGGGCAACAGCCTGTGAGGAACGAGGTCTATGAGCATGTGAGGAATTGAATCCTGCCAATAACCACATAAGTTGGCTGGAAGGTGGATCTTCCCCCAGTCATCACTTTTTGGGACTCCAACCTAGCTGGACAGTGGGACTGAGTCATCATGAGAGAGTTTGAGCCAGAGGCACCCAGGTAAGCTGCACCAGGCTTCCTAATGCATGAAACTGTGACATAATAAATGTTTGTTGTTTTAAGTGGTTACATTTTTTTTAATAATTTGTAATATACCATTAATAACTAATTTATCTATCCTGGTATTGGCCACTTGTTCATTTTCAGCCACCACTGCAGGGATCACTTTTGCATGGATTTCAACTGAATTTGTGGAGGTGTAACCTGATGGTGCCTCCCAACCTACCAAATTATCCATAATATGGAAGTTTTGGAAAGTTAATGCCCCATGGGAAGAATATTTGACCAATGAGAGAAGGAAACCAGTGGATATGTTCTTCTCCATTCCATCTTTTTGATGGATAGATTGAGATGTGGTGGCCATTTGGCCTCTCAGAAGATAGTCTCTGTTGATCAAAGAATCAATTGCTTTTGATATCAAATGTTGTCCACGTTGGTAAGGACCCCTTGTATAGGTTCTCCTCCTCCTATGCTTCATTCCCATTTTCCTTCACTCTTGCTCACTTGGGATAATATTCCCTAATGAAATAGTGGCACAAAAGCCTGTGTCTCAGGCTGTCCTTTCTTGGGAAACCAAGCTAAGATCTATTGGTTCCTTGACATTTACTGTAAAACTCCTTGGACATGATGTTTTCCTTATGGCAATATTTTTGACTTCTGCTTAATAGTTTTAGCATTTTTTAGACTATTTAGCTTTCTATTTCTTCTTGGGTTGGTTTTGGTCAATATGTTTTCCTAGGAATTAGCCTTTTCCTTCTAATATTTCAATTAATTCTTTTTTACAATTCTTAGCAACAATTAAATTAATAGCCCTGATATTCTTGATTTAGGTCTTCAACCCACAAGTTAAAAAAAAATCACCAGTTTGTGCTACTAGTTAACTTCTAGTAAATGCTTGCATTTGACAGAGTAAATATACAGGCAGCAAGTGAATATTAATTGAACAACTGAGAAATAACTGATTATGCCTTTTTGTGTAACTTTATATTCAAAACCTAATGTCATAAGGATATAATTCGTTTAGTAGGATATCTCATATTTGGTATGATGGAATTAGAATTATCACTATTTCATGAAAATAGACACATGGCTTCTGGAAGCAGTTGCCTCCTAATGAGGCTCGAGTACTGCTGGCTTCTCTTTGATGTGTGGCCAAGATTGGAAGCAACCGTGCCTCCCACCTTCTCTACAAGTCCTTGCTTTAGAATGGTCCACTGGGGAGCAGTGCCAACAGATGTCTCCATAAACTCTTGAATCACAGTGAAGATACGTTTGTTTTATGTTGGAAGCAGTTTTGTCTTTCCCATCTTTGGAGGAAACAACCCCGTTAATAAGTAGTCTTCGCTAAGTGGTGTTTGCATTTATTTTGCCATTACATGGTTGGCTGCTTCATGTGATCAGTCACCTCTTTCTTGGTTGTTGTTCTCATTATTTGACCATTTCTCAAATTTCTCTCCCTCATTAGTGTCTTACTAAGTAGTTAACAGCTTAGGAGATTCACTGTCTGGCCTGCTACTCTTTCATATTTGGGATTTCCAGGTTATTCCTTGCTATCTTCTTATCTCTCATTATCCTTCATGTATTTTATTAATTTAATCAGTCTTTCCTTTATTCAACAATCATTTACTTACTGTCTCTGATATACTGGGCAGTGTGCTGGGCCAGGGATTCAGAATCAATAAGACAAACTTCCTGCTATCAAGGAGAAAATTCACATGATATGTATCATATCTGAATCAGCAGTGATCACCTGCATGTTAACATGACTAGATAGGAAAGTTTTCAATTCTGTTGTTTTGTTTTTTAATGCTTGTCCTTTCTTCCTACCTTCAGATATTTTGGTGGGCCCAGGCATCTGTATTTTTTAAAGCTCCCTATGCACATGGATTGTAATGAGCATCCAGTGCTCATTACACTGGATGAGTGTTGCTGAGAGTGCTGAGAGTCACTATGTGTTCCTCTTTAGGAACTGTGGGCTTGCAGAAGTGGGATGTTTCCCACCACCTGCCTGCTGAGGAGTGGAGGGGTGTTGGTGGAAGAGATCATACCCTGGCTGGCTCCTGAAGGATGTCTGGGAATTCACCAGAGGGAAAACATGTTGGGCTGTTTCCAGGTCGAAGAACAGCCTTTGCAGACACAAGGAGACACAGAAATATCTCATTAGGAGAGCTTGGGGAGTGGCAAATCATACCATTTGCTTAGAACATCCTGTCTACACAGGGAATTGAACCAGACAAGACTGAAACAGCCAGCCTTGGCTGGATGAATGAGGGTCCTGCATTCCTACCCAAGGCCTTTCGATTTTATCCTGGGGATGATGGGAGTGATAGGAGGGACTTGAGCAATGGAGGAATGTTACAAGATCTGTGTTTACCAGGCTCTGCCTTGTGGCTGGATAGGGGATTCCCTGGGAATAGGGATTCCCAGCTCCTCACCACGCATTAGAAAATCCTCCATTGGTCAAAAAACTGGAAGCCGTCTGCTATGACTCTTTGCCAGGGAAAAAGCTCATGTCATCTACTGTTGTCCTGTGTGCTGTGTGTGCTGGCCATAGTGACACCTGTCGTGTAATTGGTGACTAAGGTCGTTGGGGTCCACTAGGCTATCTAGGCTGTGTTCGCCTCTTTGCTCCCTTCACTATCATTGTTCTTGGACATTGATCATTCCAGAAAGAGGGGGCTATTATTTGGCCAAGAGTCTCTCTAACTTGCCGTCTACTGCAGGACCCTCTGAGGGGCTGGAAAGGAAGCAGCATGAACTGATACCACTTGGTGCAGCCATCGTCATGCCATGTGCTGCTTCTCTTTCAGGGGCCCTCTTGTCAACAGAATCCTCATGGGTCAGACTAAATGTGCAGCAATGGCAGTGAGGTGCAGCCAGGTCCTCTTGTATTAACAATTGAAGAAGATGGTGGTCACCAATGAGACACAGGAAAAAGGCACACAGGTGGATCAGCATTCCCACCTCTATCAACTCAACTCCACCAACTTTTCTGGATGCCCCCTCTGCATAAAGCACTCTGCTAGGGAGTAGGGACATAATAGTGACTAATACACAGACTGTGCCATGAGAAGCTGTCAATCTGATAAGAGAACTAATTATAGAAACAAACAATGGTGTTGGAGGGTAGAGAAGGCAATAATAGACATTTTAAGGAGGATAGAAGTTGCCCAGAGGAGGAAGCGGTTAAATCTGTTCAAGCAGGTTTGTGAGGAAAGACTCTAACAGAGGGGGTCCTGATGAGCTAGGCTTTGAAGGTTGAGAAGGGGGCTTCCAGGGGCACAGGGGCATTTTTAAGCAGAAGGAACTGCATGGGTAAAGATTGGTAGACCTAGTTTTTTTTAGGAATTTCAAGTATTCTGGCGTGCATGCAGCCATGAAGTCAAGGGCAGGTTAGAGATTAAAGGCCAGTGGGTTTACCTGGGTTTCTGTAATATTTGAGCTTACTGATAACACTGATTGAGTTGTTTATTGATTTACCGCAGAATATGACCTCAAGGTAGATCATACTGGGAGTGTCCATGATGCTTTATCAACTATCAAGGGGGAGAGGGCACCTGTACATGGAGTACAGGTGGCCCTGCTACTGGAATCAGCACCAGCCCCACCCACTTTCCCAGCACATAAATCTTCCAGCCTCTGGGCTGGAAGGGAAGCTCTGTATCCACAGGTCTGCAAACAGCAGCACAGACTGCTGAAAGGACAACTCAGAGGAGAAAATCTCAGCAGGAAAGTGGCCATGGACCTGATCCCAAGCTTTTCTGTGGAAACATGGGTTCTCCTGGCTACCAGCCTGGCTCTCCTCTATCTGTGAGTAACCGTCCAGGCTCATGTCCTCTTAACCTTGGACTTGGGGTGCTAACCAGGCTCCCCTTTCCATTATCTGTTTTGAAGACTAAAATAGTTATCAAGGGGGAAGTTCCTTAGGTGTTTGATGCTACAAACATATGAGGGATTGTTGTTGATCTTATGCAGACCCTTTGAAAGAGTAAAACTCCCTTACAACTCTCAATTTCTGTGGCCATGAGGGCTTAGTAATGTTATTTGCTCCTGGGCATGATCTTTCAAGTGACTACCAGTTTGGACCTAGACTAATCAACCAGAATTCAGCAGAGGCAGATTAGAAGCAATTGGTTCCTTTGCAGTGGGGTCCTCATCCCCTTCTCAAGGTCTGGGAATCCCAGAGGCAAAAGGAGTGGCTTGGGTTTTTGTCTCATTATCTTCACCTTCTGATGCCTGTGTCTGCTCCAAGAGACTTGTAGAAGGACTGTCCCCTGTGTTACTCAGGTGGCTCCTAATACCCTCCTTCCCACCCCCTTGCATCATTTACACAAGGCACCTGGTGCTCCCAGACTTTCCAGACAGGTTGAAGATTGCTCCAACCCATCCTCAGACTCAGACCTTCCCTATTTTCTGTAACTCTCCTCTAGAAATCCTCTCCTAAGACTTAATTCCCCCATCCTGCAATTTACAGAACTTTTTACCCCTAAATGAGAAATCTCTAGAGAAGAGACCTGGAAGAAATCTTGACTTGTATTCTTTTCTTTCACCTTTTCCTTCCATTCTCTTGGAGAGTTGGCATCAGTGTAGAGATTTCTCTTCCCCCTGATATGAGATCTGCTAGCAACCTGTAAAGGCACTGGCTCCAAAAGCCAATTTGGATTCTAAATAGTTTTTACCTTTGAGTTACAATATAGGAGGATGAACCAAAACCATCCAGCAGAGGAATTACTCTCAATGCTTGGATTCCTGGCATCATGGAGCAGGTTGGAAGAGGTGTTATTTTCGATGTGTGGGTAGGGTTCAGCCTAGAGATCTCATTTGATCTCTATCTTAATTTCACTTTTTGAGAGCAGGAAATTATGAATACAGATGTGAACATAGGAAATATAAATCTCATTTTAATTCTTTGAAAGAAATTTTAGGAATTTCGGGTATTGTGGCAAAGTATTTTATGACTGATGACATTTTAAAATTAATTGATGTGGTTTAATTTCCTTCTATAATATGAAGTTTTTACTGTGATGAAACAATTTCTAACATGGACTTTCTAAAGGAGAAAAGAAAGCTGTTGGTTTATTATTTGTGACAACAAACATGCATAAATAACCTCATCCTTGTAGAGTAATGTCAGGAATGTGAAGCTAGGGTACAAACCTATACTTCTATGGTAAACATTGTATATATGTGTGTGTGTATATATATATATATTTAAATGTCCAGGCCCAGCAGGTTTTTAAAATCTCTCAGTGCAGGTGAATAAGTGAAACTGTGAGCCAGTGATGATATGAGAGGCATCCGGGTAGGAGTCAGGGTGAAGTGGAAGAATATTCCTCATCCCTCAGAGCAGAGACACTCCTCTGTCCTGGTCCCACAGGAGGTCCCTCACAGGGCAGCAGGGTTGGCATCTCTTCTGCTTGAAGCCTGGAGACTAGGACACCATCTAAGTCACTCTGTGTATGGTCTGTTTGGTAGTGGCTTTGTCACAAGATAGTGTCAACACTGGACATACAACACTGTAGACTTAGAGAGACTGATGCCACCAAGAATCAGTTGCTGTAGAGTAGACAATGCTCTTTTTGTCCCAATACAATGGAAACATAATAAAAGTAATCAGCTTTATTGTTAGTCCCTTAATTTGTACTGGAATCGGCACTACTCTACCAAAAGGAGGGAAGCTGGAGGGAAACCAAAGAATTCACCCAGCCCACCCTCTGCCTTAATATGGGATTATGTGAGTTTAGACACTAGACCGGATCTTTCCTTGAGGATTAATGTTTCTAACATCTACTCAATTACTTGGCTTCACTTGAGAGTTTGTACAACAAACTGAAAGTTCAGAAGCAGAAATTGCGTTAATTGATTTGCCATGGTTGTGATTGCAAAAGAAGGAACTTGGTGGGACTAACTGAGGCCAACCCTGTTTCTGGCAGTCAATGCACACACTTCCACCAACTGTTCTGGAGGAAGGATCCAAATGCCTTGGTGGGCCTGGCTGAAGTACCTCTGCTGGGACCTTCAAGTACATATCCTTTCATGAAATTTTTGGGGTTTATACCATCACATATTATAAGATTTGCTGGATTTGAACTAAATATTTATATCCTGTACTGTTTTAAAGGCCAACCTCCAAAGAAGAGGAGACAAGGTCTTAATATGACTCTCTGGAACATTTTATTACTCATTTTATTTTGCTTAATGCATCATCTGCCATCAACAGGAAGGTACTGAAGTTTGGAAGGCCCCCTGTCTTTTAGCCAAAAGCTTTTGTAGGACATGTTGAACTATTCATATATAGCATATTTTTCAGCCACAATTTCCTCATTTGCTTCTGTAGAGTTAACCTATAGGCCTAGCAACATCATGGTGAAAATGGTTGTTGGTAGCCTCTTCCCTCAGCCTCTCTTCTTCCTCCACTGTGCCACCTGTCTGTAACACGGTAGTGGGAAGACTTGCAAGGATCCAGAACCCTCAGTTGTGATATTGCACACATGATACATGAAAGATAAGTTGCAAGCAGGCCTGCCATTGGGAACACCAGTCTTAATGGGTTTTTGAGATAGTTGATCCACAGAGGCAGCAAAGTAACTGCTTTGTGAGTGACCATCTTGAAAAAGGTGAGTGTGTCTGGCATGGTGCTTAGCAGGTAAGCATCACAGGTTGAAGGATCACATGCCACAAAGGGAAGTATCGTCTGTAAATGGATTCTCTAGTCATTGGTTCCTTTATTCAGTATCATTCAGGAAACATATGAGTCAATCACCCTTCTCTATAACTCAAGTCAACCAAATTGTCTGACAACAGAGGTGTGGATGGAGCTGAAAGACACTCCCATTTCTACAGGGCCAATGGAAGCCTTGAACATAGTTTTCATTCTACAGAAGTAAGAATCCTGTGGCTGCTTCATAACATCTCTGTGAAGATAGTCTTAAGAAGTACCAGATTCTAAATCAGGGTCAGGGCACAGAGGGAAAGAAAAGCATAAAGGTCTTTGAGCAAACGGTAAGAACAATGTCACAGTAGGCTCTCAGTAACTCTCTTTTACTGAGTGGACCCCGTTATGCAAAATCTCATCATCACAGCAGAAAAATAATTTTTCCCCTTTCTACCTAGAAATAGAATCTCCAAATCATGGGAGAGTCAACTTACTAAATAGACATGAGTGAATTCTCTGGAAAAATTCCAGCCTGAATCACTCAGGAGCCCTCAAGTTTGGAAACATTTATGAAGTATTCACTCTAGTATTGGGACCATGAAACCTTCAGCTGCTTTTAGCTACTGCATTACTTTTCATGGGTCACAGAGTGGAGGTGGGAAAGGAGAGGGTGAGTGAATGTAATTATTGCTGTTTTTGTTCATCACCTACATGCTCTCTTGACTGTTCCAGTTCTGAGTCAGTGACTGCCCAGCCCTACCATATTAAATGATGTCTGTGACCTGGCTTTCTTTTTCACTTTATAGATATGGGATCTATACACATGGACTTTTTAAGAAGCTGGGAATTCCAGGGCCAAAACCTCTCCCTTTTTTGGGAACTCTCCTGGGCTACCGTAAGGTGAGTTTTATTTGAAGTTCTCCTTTGCTTCTTATGACTGGAAATTCCAGCTTAGTTCCATAATACACATGCCCCGGCTCTGGAGGAAGTTCTGAAGTTTCACACTTTCCAGGACTGTTGCCATAGGCCTCAACCGGTACATGGCCAGGTTTACCACAAGGCTCTATTTTCAGCTGTTAGGAGTCTCAGGTTTTCCTTCAGTTGGTCAACCCAGCTCTCTGGCTGATTCAGCACATGACTTGATGTTCCAACTTGTATGCATTGTGAAGAGGATTTTCTTTCTGCCATGTGCAAGTTCCCAAGAAGCAACAATCAGACTGTGTAGTAGGAGTAAAGAATGAAGGATGTGCCCAGTAGTGGCTCATTAAACTGTCTACTGTAAAGTCAGAGTTCCCTCTTTATAGCATAAGCTCTGGGTAGCCTTTTCGTTTCTTCCTCCTCTTGGGTAGTTTTTAAAATTCAGTTTATTAGGTAGCCTCAGTATTCATCATTTGGTAATTTGCACATACTTGAATTCTCTGAAGAACTGATAAACCCCTGCAGTTATTTCCATGGCTCTAACTAATCCTCTGCTACCCATGATATCTTCGGGGTTTGAGAGGTGGAAGAAGAGCTTTCTGTTTTACTTCTCTTCTTTCAAAGGAGGCATCTTGTGGGTGAGTCTGAGCATGGAGTATGTAGACTGTGACAAGATGGTGGTTGTCTATTGGCTTCAGATATATAACCATTGATCGAGTTGTATTTTCTTTTTCTTTTTAGCGTAGACAGACTCACTTATACAGAATCACTGGAAAGGAGATGGTTTGAGAAATGTTTTAAAAAATTTAATATAACTGAGCAGAGTGTACTAGGTGACAAATGGACTGTGAGTTCTGGCAGAGCCTTTGTAGTTAACCCAGCTGATGCCTGAGCCAGGTCGTGGCCCCTGGTCGGAACGTTATACATTTTTGTCCAAATGTAAGGAGGCAGAGACTTGTGTGCAGGCTCCTCTCTGCCTCAGATTTCCTTTCTGTCAGATGTGAAGCTTATTTCTCAGATCCCAGTTCTCCCAACTGAGATCTTCAGTGCCTCATTACCACCTAAGAAATTTTGTGCTTTTTTTCCCTCTGAAAGAGCAATAATTTCCTTTCTACCTTTCCCAGATCAGCCCCCTTAGTAGATACACTCCTAGATCCACACTTCAGATTCACATAGTTAAAACATCGCAACTGAAAGCAACAGAAGGATTTTTAAAAGTTATATGTGAAAAGTCATATTAGGTGTTTTGATGTTCCCTGTCTTATGTGGAGTGGTGACATCTCCCATCTTTTCCAAGTTGAACTGGAAAACTGGAAGTTGGGTCCACTTTTTCATTCATTCATTCACTCACTCACCTTCTTTCTGAACAAACATGGCTTAGACTTATGGAATCTGCTGGAACAAAAGAGTTCACTAGTGTCTTTTATTTATTTATTTTTTTAAGATTGGCCCTGAGCTAACATCTGTTGCCAATCTTCCTCTTTTTTTTCTTCTCCCCAAAACCCCCCAGTACATAGTTGTATATACTCGTTGTAGTTCCATCTAGTTCTGCTATGTGGGACGCCACCTCAGTGTGGCCTGATGAGCAGTCCTAGCCCAGGATCTGAACCAGTGAAACCCTGTGCCACTGAAGTTGAGTGCGCAAAATTAACCACTTGGCCACGAGGCTGGCGCCCACTGGTGTCTTAAACTTCCTAATTCTGCTGGGATTCTAGAGAAAGCTCATGAGATAAATGAAAATGATGCTTAACTAGGAGATCAAAGAGTGTGCAGGCCACTCTTACTTTCTCTCAGCTTCAGTTTTTTCCTGTGTCCATGAAGGTAATAATTCAGAGGGTTATTTGATTCAGAGACAACACATGCACAAGCAAAAACACTTGAGAAAGACAAGGAGTTACTTAGTATTCACAGACATGGGTAAGTCATTTAATATCTGCAATACTCAGAGAAATTTCTAGAGTGACTTTAAATGTTCCATTTTGAACAGCTCCATTATTTTCTCTGCTTCCCCGTAAGACATCTATGAATAAGAGATTCCCTCTGCCAGTGAAAGATAGTAAGCCCAGTTTCGTGGGATTCAAATAATTTATGTCCCAATTAGAGGTAGGTTTCAATACATTTACATTAATAATCCTATTTTGTTTCTCCTTGCAGGGTTTCGGGGGTTTTGACACGGAATGTCTTAAAAAATACAGAAAAATGTGGGGGTGAGTATTCTGGAAACTTCCATTGGATAGGCTTGTTATGAATAGGTTTCCTGGAGTGAAAGACTATCTTAGTCCAGAGCCATTTTTAGAAACTTTAGAAATAAGGGAATGAAATTGCTCAGAATCCTACTATCACTTTTTGATCGTTCCAAATCTTTTTCCGGTTGTAGGCACATTATTACACATTTGTGTTAGTATGTCTACAGTTTTCCTCTAGCGTTATGCCTTATGCACTTATCATATTTTTGATATATCTTCAAAGTTATAATTTTCATGACTGACTCTCATTAATTAATTTTTCTGTTCCTAGATAATTTATTTGCCATCCATTATTTACTAACCTTACTTCCATTTTGTAATAAAATATTTTAAACATGCAAAAATTTATGGAGTATGGTATAGGAAAAATCCACAGACACAACGCCTAGACTTAACAAATGTTCTAATGTTATTTCCAGCCCTGATCTCTAGGGTTATAGATCATGTAATGTCAGGATGAAAGTCTGGATTTCCAGGTGTGGCTCCAACTGTAGAATCTGGCTTGTTAAATTTAATCAGCTCTGTTTTCCCAACAGGTTTTATGATGGTCGACAGCCTGTGTTGGCTATCACAGATCCAGACTTGATCAAAACTGTACTAGTGAAAGAATGTTATTCTGTCTTCACAAACCGGCGAGTAGGCATCCATTTTTTAAAATTAAAAACTTTACTTATTTATTAAGTTTTTATTTAGAAATAATTACAGATTCACAGGATATTCCCAAAATAAAAATTATAGGGAGATTCCATGTTGTGCAGCTTTCATCCTGTTTCCCCCAGTAGTAATAACTTCATAATTATAGTACAGTATTAAAGCAGGAAATTGACATTAGTACTATCCATAGAGCTTATGCAGATTTCTTCAGTTTCATGTGCGCTCATTTGTGTGTGTGTTGTTCTATGAACATTTAACATATATGTAGATTTGTGTAATGACCACCACACTCAAGATACACAACTGTCCCATCACCATAAAGCTCCCTCTTACTATTTTTTTATAGGCATGATGTGTAGCTTGTGTTTTCTTCTTATCAAGGAGGATAAAAAGCAGAGAAAACACTTTTTTGTTTTGCTGAGGTTGATTTATCAATTTTTTCTTTTATGGGCTGTGCCTTTGATATCAAGTCTGAAAACTCTTCGCCTTCCACTAGGTCCTGAAGACTTTCTTCTATTACTTTTTCTTGAACATTATATAGCTTTACATTTTACGTTTAAATCTATGATCCATTTTGTGTTAAATTTTATATCAGGTGTGATGTTTTGGTCAAGGTTCACTTTTGTTTTTGGCCTATGGATATCTAATTGCTTCAGCACTGTTTGTGGAAAGGCTCTCTTTCCTCCATTTAATGGCTTTTGCACCATTGTCAAAAATCAGTTGGATCTATTTATGTGGGTCTAATGTTCATGCTCTATTCTATTAATTGATCTCTGTATCTATCCCTCCACCAGTACCACACAATCTTGATTACTGTAGCTATAGAGAAGTCTTAACATCACCTAGAGTGATTCCTCTCGCTTTCTTATTTTGTTTTTAGAATTGTTTCAGCTATTCGAGCTCCTTCATCCTTCCATATGAATTTAGGATAAGCTTCTCTATGTCTATAAAAAAATTGCTTGGATTTTGATATTATCTATTGATCAATTTGGGAAAAATCTTTACACTTACTAGGTCAAGTCTTTCAATCCATTAACACAGTATGCCTCTCCATTTATTTGGGTTTCTTTGATTCCTTTTACAAAGATTTTGCAGTTCCCACCACAGAGATCCTGTGCATGTTTTGTTAAATTTACACCTGAAATATTTCATTTTCTTTGGAGTGAATGTAAATGGTATCATATTTTCACATATTCATTGTAGTTATATAGATGTGGTTGACTTTTGTGTGTTGATTTTCTATCCTACGACCTTGCTGAGCTAATTTATTATTTCCAGAGATTTTCTTTTTATGTTACTTGAGATTTTCTACATTGACAATTATGTCACCTGAAAATAGGAACACTTCTATTTTTTTCTTTCCAGTCTCTATGGTATTTATTTCTTTTTCTTGTCTTACTGTACTAGGTAGGACTTCCAGTATGATGATGAAGAGTGGTGAGAGTGGTTATTTTGCATTGTTCCTGAACTTAGCAAGAAGCATTCAGTTTTTCACCATTTTTAAAATTGTTATTAATTTATTTTTGACAAGTAAAAAATGTAAATATCTGCAGTGTACAATGTGATGTTTTGATATATGTATACGTTGTGAGATGATTACCACAAATGAATTAACATATTAATTAACTCCATAGTTACCTTTTCTTGTGTGTGTGGTAAGAACACTTAAGATCCACTCTCTTAGCAAATTGCAAGCATACAGTACAGTATTATTAACCATAGTCATAATGCTGTACATTTGGTCTCCAGAGCTTGTTCGTCTTGTAAGTGAAAGTTTGTACCCTTTGATCAATATCATCCCTTCCCCTTTTCCCTAGCCTCTGATAAACCACCATTCTACTCTCTGTTACTATCGGTTTGACTTTTTAAAAAAATTCTACATATGAATGAGATCATATGATATATGTTTTTCTGTGTCTGGTTTAGTTCACTTAACATTTTGTCCTCAAGGTTCATCCATTTGTTCACAAATGGCAGAATTTGTTTCTTTTTCAAGGCTGAATTATATATATATATATATATATACATATACATACCGCATTTTATCTATTCATTCATCTGTCCACTTACATTGAAAGTAATTACTGATAGAAAGTATTTATTAATGCCATTTTGAATGTGCAGGTGTTTCATAGATGCTTTGTTTCTTCTTCCTCTCTTCATCCCATCTTCCCTTTGTGATGTAATGTTTTTCTATAGAGGTGTGCTTTGCAGGCATCCATAGCATCTATGCTGGTTGTTGGTTTCCTCAGCAGCATAGGCTCCAGAGTCTTCTGCAGAGCAGGTCACAAAGATTCATGGTCACTCCCACTGCATGGCTGATCCTGGCAGCCCCGGCCATTCTTCTCTGTTCCTAGTTGTCTCCAGATGTCTCAGCTATGCAGTCTCTGGATGGATTGAAACCAAAGCAGGTCATTTGTTCAGTGCACTGAAAGGCTGGGGAAACTGGTCACTTACTCTGCTGTGCTATTCCTGGCAAGGGGAACTCTCTCAGCCTGGAGAGTTCCCTCTTAGTGCTGATCAGTGCTGGCCTGTGGGATGAAATGAGGCAGACAAAGAGAAACTATTTCCTCTACAAATTTTGTGCAGTATTCTTGTTTCTTTTGGTCCACTGTGTTGCTGAAGCTTCTTAAGTAGGCTTCTGAGCTCTCCTATACCTGTTTTCCTTTTGTCAACAGCTGTATATTGTTTGTGGGTGATGGATGTTTGAGTCTCCTACTCCGCCATCTTGGTGATATCACTCTAGTCTTTCATCATAAGTGTGATGTTAGCTGTAGGTTTTTAATAGATGTTCTTTATGAAGTAGAAGAAATTACCCTCGCTTCCTAGTATTTATCATGACTGGGTGTTGGTTGTATCCATTTTAATACAAAATATAATTTTGGAAGATGAAATAAAGTCTCAAGCAGCTTAGCTTGGTAGGCCAGTCCCAATCTAGAAATATAATTATTTCTTTCTTTTCCTTTCTATACCTGAAGAAAAAATGTAATGGAAAGGGATTGCCATGTGATTGTATCACTTCTTCAGAATAGCAAATAGATTACCAATGTTTTAAGTATTAAATATTATTTATTTAAAAATCACCATATCAAGAAATCTCTTATTTTGAGTTGCTTTTGCTGTACATATATTTAAAGACAGAACTAGTCTGAGGCAACATACAGTTTGACAAGGCCATCTGGATATCTATCACAAATCCCTTTCTACTCTGCAGCCCTGGAGAATGAACCAGGGCTCTTTCTGTTCTATTCTCATGGAAGAACAGTTTCCCTACCACATGAGTCATTTGCATTTAAAAGGAGATTGGAGTATAAAGGCTGGAAACAACATTGGGTGGCTAGATGTCTCCTTCACCTTCACAGGAACCTAGACATTTGGGATAAATATTTATTGATCACCTATCATAGGATCTGCTACTAAGTAGATAGTAACTAAATATTTGTTGAGTAATTGATGCACATTTAACAAATTTTTCACAAGTGTTGAGACCTCCAAAACTTATGTAGGGCAAAATGTCTTTTGCCTTTGAGTCTAGTCTTTTGGTCCAGTGGGGTTTATGAAAAATGCCATCTCTATATCTGAGGATGAACAATGGAAGAGAATACGAACTTTGCTGTCTCCAACCTTCACCAGTGGAAAGCTCAAGGAGGTAAGAAAGTAGAAACTTTTACTTAGAAACTTAAAGAATACATCTGGGTTCACGTAAAAAATAAGATCATAGTCTTTTTTTAAGTGGTATTTTGCTGAATTTGAGCTGCCTAAAAATGGTGTTTTCTTTTTGTTTCCTAGAAGAGACATTATAACATACATTATACAATGTCATTTGCTGCTCCATGCATGTGAAAGCTAGGTCTTTCTAGGACTTGAGTCTCCTCATTTAACTTTGTGTGGTGTTGTATATTGTGTCTAGATGTTCCCCATCATTGGCCAGTATGGAGATGTGTTGGTGAGGAACCTGAAGAAAGAAGCAGAGAAAGGCAAGCCCATTGCCTTGAAAGAGTAAGTAGGAGTGCACATGCTGGGATTCTGAGCTCAGTCAAGAGACCCTCCAACTACCTGCCATGCAACCCAAATTCAAACTGTTGAGTTATTCTAGTGAACAAACAGAAGTAGGTGTGTGGTGCTACAATTCCAATGGGCCACCCAAGGAGTGCAGGGCAGCAAGGAGAGAATGGGTCTTCTCCTGTGTACATGAAACAGGATTAGTTTATCTGCTTATTTATCAACTTGTATATTCTGGAATTCAAAACTATGTAGTTTCGAAAGAAGAAACATGATCATACCAAAGTTTTCAGCGTGGAGGGTATGGAATGGTGAAAAGAAGACGTTTGGTACATATCGATGGACAGTGCGTGGAGTAGGAAAGTTACAACGTGGAACTTGGAACAACTTAAACCCCTTCATGATTTCGTTGAGCATACCAGCAAAATACTAAATAATAAATCTTACCACCACTTCCCCTTCCTTCAGTCTCAAAAGAGAGAAGGCCCCAGATAGGCTATGCATATGGTGATCATATCATCTATTGCATAAACTTGTATATGTAATTATGCAGGAACACCAATGTAAACTGGGACCATCTTGGGGAAAACTGGGGGCATATGATCACTTAGCTATGGGATCCCCCAATCAATTTTGGATGATTTATTATTATTATTTTGTACCTAGGGACATTCTTAGTTTTTACATTACAGAAATGAGTCTGTACCCAGGGCAACTGAGATTACTGGAGTTGAGGAGGAATGGTTCTTTCAGGAGTCTTAGCAGGAGTGTAGAGAAGGAGGGGTGACATTACCGGCAAATTAGAATAGGGGTAATTCCTTTGTAATGTGCTAAAGAAGAGTCAGCTTTCAGTATAGATACTGTGGTGAGGCTCAGTGTCATCTTTCTTGACTACCCTAGGAAGAGTTAATTATTCCACCCTTTGTCCTGCTCAGACACAGTGCTTATATACCTACTATTGCCCGTACTCTGTACATCATATGGTAGTTTGTCTGATTATGGTTCTCTATCCACCTATGACTCAGCTCCTTCAACTCAGAGGAGGCTCTAAGATGCCTTAGTGCCCCATCTCCCCTAACACAGGGCCAACTGCATCACTGGCACATGATAAACACCTCATAAGTGAGTGTGATGGTAGCGTAGACTCTTCAGATGATCCAGTAAAAGGTTCTGAAGGTATGTGTCTCTTTACCTGTATTGCCTGGGAGCATGAACTTACATGCAGTTCTTGCTGTGTATTTTGCATAAGGATAGTAAAGAGGTGCTGATTTTAGCTTTCCATGTCTTTCTTTCTCTCCTCAGCATTTTTGGGGCCTACAGCATGGATGTGATTACTAGTACATCATTTGGAGTGAACATCGATTCCCTCAACAACCCACAAGATCCCTTTGTGGAAAATACAAAGAAACTCTTAAGATTTGATTTCCTTGATCCATTCATTCTCTCAATAAGTATGTGGACTACAATTTTTCTTTTCCTGCCTTCCTTCCTTCTTTCCTTCCTTCCTAAATGGGCTTTATTAATACATACTTCACATATGTAACTCAACCATTTAAAATGTACAACTCAATTTTTTCACATTTTAAGTATCCACCCACAGATGCATGGCTAAAGAAAATGTAGTTTATATATAAATTGGAATAGTATCCAGCCATAAAAGTGAAGGAAATCTTGCCATTTGTGACAACATGAATGGACCTTGAGGGCATTATGCTAAGTGAAATATCTGACGGAGAAAGACAAATACTGTATGATCTCACCTATATGTGGAACCTAAAAAGAACCAAAACCACCAAACTGATAGAGAAAAGAAATCAGTTTTGTGGATACCAAAGGTGGGGGTAGGGGATAGGGGGATTAGGGGGAGGTGGTCAAAAGATACAAACTTTTGGTTATAAGTTAAGTCCTGAAGATGTAATGTGCAACATAATGACTATAGCTGACACTGCTGTATGGCATATTTGTAACTTGCTAAGAGAGTCAAATCTAAAAATTCTCATTGCAAGAAAAAATATATTCTTTTGTAACTATATGAGGTGATGGATGTTAACTAAACTTATTGTGGTAATCTTTTCACTATATATATATAAATATATATATATATAATATACATATATATGTCAAGTCGTTATGCCATACATCTTAAAATTATACAGTATTGCAGATCAATTATAATTCAATAAAATTGAAAAAGATTTTTATTCCATTCAAAGATATGTGCAACCATCACTATAGTCAATTGTTAGAACATTTTTGTCAACATAGATACTCTGTATTTTTTAACTACTACTTCCCTCTCCTTAGTCCTAAGCAAATGCTAATTTACGCTGTCTCTATAGATTTAGGTAGCTTGGAAACTTCGCATAGATGGAATCATACAAATGTGGTCTTGTGTGGCTGGCTTTCTTCCTTTAGCATAATGTTTTCAAGGTTCATCCGTGTTGTAGCATGTATCAGTACTTCATTTCTTTTTATGGTCGAATAGTATTCCCTTGTATGGACATACCATGTTTTGTTTATCCATTCATCAGTTGATGGACATTTGAGTTGTTTCCAGATACTGGCTATTGTAAGAGTACTGCTATGGACATTCATGTGCAAGATTTTTTTAATCTACATACCTGTTTTTGATTCTTTTGATAGTGTACTCAGGGGTAGAATTGCTGAGTTGTATACTTATTCTGTGTTTAACCTATTAAGGAACTGCCAAACTGTTTTCCACAATAGCTGCACCATTTTCCATTCCCACCAGTGATGTATAAAGTTTCCATTTTCTCCACATCCTTACCAACACTGGTTCAATACTTTTTTGTTTTTTGATTATGGCCATGCTAGTGGGTGTGAAGTGGTATCTAATTGTGCTTTTGATTTGCATTTCCCTAATGGCTAGTGACGTTGAGCAACATTTTACATGTTGTTGACCATTTTTATACCTTCTTTAGATAAATGTACATTCAAAGCTTTTGCCCATTCATAGTTGTGTTGTTTGTCTTCTTGTTTGTAAGAGTTCTCTATGTACTCTATGTATCCTTATCAGATATACAATTTGAATTTCCCCCCCCATTTGGTAGGTATCTTTCATTTTCTTGATAGAGTTCTTTGAAGCAGAAAGTTTTAAATTTTGATGATGCACAATTTATGTATTTTTTATTTCATTGCCAGTACTTCCGGTGTCATATCTAAGAATCTATTGCCTAATCTGAGGTCATGAAGATTTACCCCTTGATATTCTTCTAAAATTTATATAGTTTAGTTCTTATGTCAGATGTTTACTCCATTTTGAAGTATTCTTTTTTTGTGTTTATGGAGTGAGGTAAGAGACCAACTTCATTTTTTTGCATGTGGCTATCGAGTTTGTTGAAAAGAGTATTTTTCCCCACTGGACAGTATTGGAAACTTTCTCAATATCCAGTGTAGTATAGACACATCAGTTTATTTGTAGACTCTAAATTCTATTCCATCGATCTCTATGTCTATCCTTATGACAGTACCACATTACCTTGATTGTTAAAGCCTTGTGGTAAATTTTGAAATCGGAAGTGTGAGTCCTACAAATTTATTCTTTTTTTTTCAAGATTGTTTGGCTGTTCTGGGTACCTTTCAATTCCATGTGAATTTTAAATTCACTTTGTCAATTTCTATAAAGAACCTCGCTAGGATTCCCTAGGAAACACCTTAAATCTTTAGATCAACTTGGAGAGCATTGCCATCTTGACAATATTAGGTATTCTGTTCTTTTCTTTCTTTCTTCCTTCCTACATTCCTTCCTTTCTTTTTCTTTCCTTTCTTCCTTAAGAAAGAAAGCCAACACTTGTGTCAATCTTCCTCTATTTGTTGTATGTGGGACACCACCACAGTATGACTTGGTGAGTGGAGTGTTGCTGTGTGCCTGAGATCTGAACCTGTGAAACCCAGGCTGCAGAAGCTGAGTGCACGAACTTAACCACTAGGCAATCAGGCCAGCTCCTCTGTTCTTTTTGAAGTTTATGTAAATTGAGTTCTTTTCTTAATTTCCTTTCTGAATTGTTTGTTGCAGTGTATGGAATACAGTCTATTTGTATATTTATTTTGATCCCTGAAGCTGAACTAGTTTATTATATCTAAGTGGTTTTTAATGGATTCTTTAGGATTTTCTATATATAGAATCATATTATCAGATAATAGAGAAACTAGTTCTTCATTTCTTAGTGGATGTCCTTAATCAGGTTCTGATTTCCTTCTATTCCCAGATGATTGTGTGTGTGGTATTTTTTTTTTTTTTTTTTTGGTGTGGAAGATTTGCCCTGAGCTAACATCTATTGCCAGTCCTCCTCTTCTTGCTTGAGGAAGATTGTCCCTGAGCTAACACCCATGCCAATCCTCCTCTATTTTGTATGTGGGACGTTGCCACTGCGTGGCATGAGTGGTGTGTAGGTCCGTGCTGGGGAACCAAACTGGTGAAGCCTGGGCTGCCAAAGCAGAGTGTGCGAATTTAACGACTATGCCACGGGGCTGGCCGCAGACTGAGTGTTTTTAACGCAAAAGGATTTAGAATTTTGTGAATTGCTTTTTCTGCATCTTTTAAGATGATCATGTGGTTTTTGTTTTTTATTCTACCGATATGGTGTATTACACAACCTTGCATTCCTGTGATAAACCTCACTTGCTTATGGTGTATACCTTTCTTTATATTTTGCTGGATTCAGTTTGCCAGTATTTTCTTGAGGATTTGTGCACAAGATATATTGTTCATAAGATATGTTGGTTTATAGTTTTCTTTCCTTGTGATGTCTTTGTCTGTTTTTAGTATTAGTGTAATATTAGCCTTATAGAATGAGTTTGGAAGTATTCTCTGCTCTGTTATTTTTTGTAAGAGTTTGTTAAAAATTGATGTTAATTCTTTTTAAAATAATTGGTAGAATTCCCCATTGAAACCATCTGGAGTTGAGCTTTTCTTTATGGGTAGGTTCTTGATTACTAACTCAATCTTTTTACTTGCTGTAGGTCTATTCAAATCGTATATTTCCTTTTTAGTCATTGAGGTCACATTGGTTTATAACATTCTATAAATTTCAAGTGTACATCACTGTATTTCAACTTCTGTGTAGACTACATCATGTTCACCACAAAAGTCTAGCTGCCACCCATCACCATACACATGTGCCCCTTACCCCTTTCATCCTCCCCCACCCCATTCCCCTTTGGTAACCACCACAGATTGTCTATTTCATCTTGAATTAGTTCCCGTAGTTTTTGCCTTTCTAGGAAATTGTCCATCCCACCTAAGTTATCTGAATTATTGGTGTACAATTCTTCATAGTATTCCTTTATAGCTTTTAATTTTTTTAGTATCAGTAGTAATGTCCCCTCTTTTGTTTCTGATGCTAGTAATTTGAATCTTCTCTCCTTTTTTTGGTCAATCTAGCTGAAGTTTTTTTTTAAAAATCTACTTTTGGTTTCATTGATTTTATCTATTTTTTAATTCTCTATATCATTAATTTCTGCCTTACTTTTATTATTTCCTTTCTGCTGCTTCCTTTACGTTTCATTTGCTCTTATTTTTTCAGTGTGTTAAGGTGGAAAATTAGATTATTTATTTGAGACTTTTGTTCTTTCTAAATGCAGAAATTTATAGCCATAAATTTATCTCTGAGCACTGCTTTTGCTACATCCTGTAAGTTTGGGTATATTGTGTCTTCATTTTTATTTATCTCAAAGTAATTTCTAATCGCCCTTTGGACTTCTTTTTGACCCACTTGTTATTTAGGAGTTTATGGTTTAATTTTCATATAGTTCTAAGTTTCCCAATTTTCTTTCTGTTATTGATTTCTAACATCATTTCATTGTGGTTGAAAGACATCATATATTATTTCTATCCTGACTCCAATTTCTTGAATATACATGATTAATTAAATTAACAGAATATGGTCTGGTTTATCCAAAGAGACTCTAGTCTAATGGATAAAAGGCTAAGAGGTCAAGGAATGCAATCCCATTCCTTGGGTCACTCCAAAGATGCAGAAAGAGTCACTGACGTCATTGCTATAGTCATGGCCCCTAAGCATGGACTCACTGTTGCTCAACCACTGGCCTGGAAGTCCAAGCCAAGGTCATAGAGGGATTTGCTCCTGGCTAAGAACCCTGGTGTCTTTTACTCTTCTAGTTAGTAGAGGAAATTATAATTGCTCCAGGTAAAATGTGTATTTTCATTGTGCTTTCTTTTTTTTTTCCCTACAGCAATTTTTCCATTTCTTAATCCAGTTTTTGAATTATTAAATATATTTCTATTTCCAAAGAGTGTTACTGATTTTTTCACAAAATCTGTAAAAAGGATAAAAGAAAGTCGCCTCAAAGATAAAGAAAAGGTAAAATCTGGGGGATTACATAAGAGTATTCACTTTTTGATAGTTTATTGAGCTGTATACATATGATTTGTGCACTTCTCTGTAAATTTTTAAAGGTAGATAGAGAACTCTAGGGTTTAGAGTAAGAGAGTTCTAACATTTTGGAGGGAATGAAGAAGGTGGACACTGGAGAAGGAGATAATCAAATAAGTCAGAAAGCAATGATTAAAATTTAATAAGCGTTAAAATTAGTATGTTACCACATGAATATTGTTGACATAAAAACTTTACCACTTCCCTTCAATAAATTGTGAAAAGATAAAAATTACAGCTTACAAATTATTTTACTGGTATTATAACTTCCCCAGATCTTATATTGGCCAAAAATCACTTCCTTCAAGCCTTTCATTTTGCACATTGCTCAATGGTGGGCCCCAGCAGGCTACCTCGTGAAGTATAGCGTATCCTGAATTTGAGCCCTAACCTAGTCTGGAGTGGGCAGGAGTCTTCTCTGGGTATTGAAGCTGTAAGCTGACTAACCCAGCTTTGACTTCATGAGTCCTGGACATCAGCATCTGCAGGTCTGCAGGTCAGGTAGACAGGGCTGAGTACCACAGGATGTGACTGAAGATTGCATAGAATTCTGAGTGGGTGGGGCATTTGAAGATGTTTACACAAAAGCTGCTGCTGATCTCTGCAAATTTCAGGTTATTAATCTATGTGGCCATTCATTAAGAATTAAGGCAGGAGAGAAAAATGATTTAAGTCAGGGTCTTTCTCCTGAGCAAGGAGGCATGACCAGAAAGGGTGCAGGCAACTCTTTGACCAGGAAGCTGTGTTCAGAAGCCAGAGAAGCCAAGGATCAAAGAGAGCAAGGATCAAGAAGCAGTTGGACATGATGGCTAGCTTTTTCTCAGGTAAACATCATGCTCTCCAAGTTTGAAGCTGGATGATTTTGTTCAGACAAGACTAGTCACATTTATGGACTTGAAGGGCCTATAGTCTCAGGAAAAAGGCTAAGTACTGCATTCCTGATTTATTTTGGACTTCACAAGTGACTGTGTATCATTGGAATTTTTCTTCTGCTTCCAGCAACGAGTGGATTTCCTTCAGCTGATGATTAACTCCCAAAACTCCAAAGAAATGGACACCCATAAAGGTAACCAAGGAGTTTTCAGAGGGCCACTATGGGGAAACTTGGAGGGTGGGGATGGTTCCAAAAACATGCAGGAAGTTTTCCAGATAGATGAGAATTTCTGCCAAACTGAAGAAAGGTGCATGTTCAGATATAAATTGTAGTCAGGGGAACTTTCTAGAAGCAAGCATGCACAACTTTCTTCAAAGCTTGATGGGCAACCATAAACATGTATTTCATGCCTAGAAGTCAGTCAGTGGTCTGTGGATCACCTACATCAGAACTTCTGGGGAGCTTGTTTCCATGTCAATTTTTAGACCTCATCCAGACCCAGTGAATCAGAGTCTCTGCCTGGAAATTTGCATCAAGGCTTCATCATGTCTGGAGGCACATTGCTCCAGTGTTGGGTGACATTCACTTTGACACTTGATTAAAGTTCACTAGCTTAATATACTGTAAAGTTTTAATTTTCTCCGTGTAATTAGTAAGTAACTAATGGGAGAAGCCTTTGAGATTGTGTAAACATTCTGTTTATCTTCAAAATCACCTACTAGTTTTATTAATGTGGATCTTTTTTTTTTTTTTTACTGAAACTGCTATTACTGTGATGGTTGCAAAATGATAATTTTCTAATTCCAGCATTTATTCTACATTTATGTGTTGAGTTTCCCTTTTAAGAGATAATTTTCCATTCTCTCCAATTTATTTATTTATTTGTTTGTATCTCTATAATCTCATTTATTACTAATTTAATCTTTTCCTACTTAATTCTTTATTTTGTTCCTCAAATTCTCTCAGATTTGTCCAATGGAATCTCTTTCAGGTGGGCTCCTGTGTCCTTTTTTAATATTCTTCCTTTTGAAATTTTACTTTTCAAGTACTTTATCTTTTAGTGCAACTTTAGATTCATGGGCAAAATTTAGCAGAAGATACAGAGATTCTTCACATACCTCCTGCCCTAGGTACATACAGCTTCTGCCACTGTCAAAATCCCTCACTGGAGTGGCACATTTGTCACAATCAATGACCTACGTTGACACATTATTATCACCAAAAGTCCATAGTCTACATTAGTGTTCACTCTTGGTGTTATACATTCTATGGGTTTTGACAAACATATAACGACATATCTCCACCATTATGGTCTACCGAGTATCACGAATCCTTTTCACCTATTATTTTCTGAACATTTCCTTGCTTTCTGATGCAAGACATTCCAGATTTTTTTGTATTTCTCCTGACCAGACTTGCAATCAAGCATTTCTCCAAGGAGCCTGGTTCCTTTTAGTAAGAAATGGTATTTAGAAACAAAAATGTGTCCTCTTGTTTCTGATCATTTATAGTAGCTCACTGCTACTGAGGGTGTCTTTGCTTCTAAACCCTCTCGGTGGAGGTAGCTAAGAACATCAAATATTTTTACACAGATATGACAAACATAAATATTTCTGTATCTACCGATAGCCAGTGATGTAAACATGCTCTGTCTCTGTCTCTCTCAAAAAAGTCTCTGATTCTAGTTTATTTCTATGACGAGAATACTCCCATATGTTCAATTTCAAGTTACTAATGGTTTGACAAACACTTCACAGAATTCCTGAACATTTAACAATTGGTCCCTAGACAGCAGTGATGATCCGACTCCAAAACAAGAGTATAAATATAATATATCTATGTCTAATGCTTACATCTATTTCTATCTTTCTCTCTATCTGTCTCTCTCTATCTAGTCCAATACAGCTTTCTGTCGTGAAGGAAATATGCTATATTTGCACTGTTCGATATAGAAACCACTAGGCACATGCCGCTATTGAACACTTGACATGTGACCACTACCACTGAAGAACTGAAACTGAAATAGTATTAAAATTTAATTGGTTAAAATTTAAATAGCCACATGTGGCTACCACATTGGACAGCACAGATCTAAACTTGGAGTATCATGAGATTCATACTAACCAGAGGAAAGAATATGATTACTGAATTTACCCACAACAGCATCACGGAAATCATCATTGGGAAACCAGCAATTTGTAGTCCTTTCTTACACTTACTTTGAAAAGTTTTTAGTTTTGAATTTAATGACTATGATTGGTACCATGTTTATTTCAGTGCTCTAAGAATCTAAATTTCCTAATCTAGTCTCAATCAAATAGATTAGAGCCTGAGCATACTTAGTGTCTTTCAGGAGAAAAACTAAACTAAAGGGAGGCCAACTTATAATCACAAGGGCAGTTTTCTGAGCATAAAGTAGACAAAGAGGGGCAGCATATGCTGAGGAAGATGACATTCAAGCCATTAGTGAGTAAGCATTGTCATTACTCCTGCTGGACCCTATTTTTCTACATTTCATGCTGGCCAATGCCCTCTACTGACACGTTCTTTCTTCTCCTATTTTAACGCTGTTGACTAGACTAAGGTCAGTTACAACTCTTCTGGCATTTTGTGTGTCTCTGTAGTTGCTGTATATATCTGAGGTCTTCCATTTGAAGACTTGTGCCCCAGGTCTTCCAATACCTGATGCCTCTCAAGTACAATCCATGCTTTTCAAGCTAGGTTGTGCACACAAACCACTACATCTTGTGAAACGTCAGATTTTGGTTAGATAGTTCTAGGGCAGGGGTTGATATTCTGTGTTTATAATAAGCTCCAATGTACTGCTGAAGCTTCTGGCCCATGGACCACGCTTTGAGTAGCAAGTGTTTATCTTTAGTGCAGTGTTATTCTCTTAAGTTCCCTCAAAGATGATTCTATGAAAAATCCTTTAATTTTCTCTACAATTAAGCCTTAATATTGAAAACTTTCTTAAAAATTTTCAAGTTATATTTTAGCTAGAGTAATTTAAGTTTTTCCTTGGGGGAGGATGCTACCCCATATTACTTATATAGTTGTAGTAAAGTACTTTTCGGATTCTCCAAGGGACATGCTAATAACACTGTGTATGTAAGCCAGAAATGCTATTTCTTAAATTACCCAGCTGTGTTGGTGGCATAATACAGGGTCTCATAACCAGGAGCAGAAGGCCAAGAATAGTATAGACCTTGGGAAAAATAGGATTAAGATAATTTTTGCCTTTTTCTGGATTGGTCAGATAGCCATCAGAGTGCAAACCACTCTCAATTTGACTGTGAATTGCTTTTCTATTTTTTCTCTAGTGGTTTGGTAGTTTCATTTGGATTTCTAATAATGTAATCTGTGCTGTTTTACAATGACATGCTTTACCTAAACTGTCTTTCCTCTCCTTTTAGCTCTGTCTGATCTGGAGCTTGTAGCCCAATCTATTATATTTATTTTTGCTGGCTATGAGCCCATCAGCAGTTCTCTTTCTTTCCTTCTGTATCTTTTGGCCACTCACCCTGATGTCCAGCAGAAGCTGCAGGAGGAGATTGATGCAACTTTCCCCAATATGGTGAGTGGATGATACCTGGAGGGAGGGGGAAAGTGAAGCCTTCACAAGAGTATCTCCTCACCACTTCCTAGAAGTGGTGCAAGAAAGCATAAATATCAGTTCTTTCTGTGCTATTTAGGGAGGATCTAAAGAGACAAAAGCAAAGAGAGAAACCTAGGTAGTGTATTCTGCTCACATAAATATGAGATCTTTGAAAAAAGTGCTGGTCCTGGCATATCAATTGTCTGTTCCCACAATAATGTTAAGTAAAAATCACAAAACCTCAGTGGCACCTAACAATAAGTTATCTCTGTTGATATTGTTGATATGATCCACACATCTCTCAAAGTACAGAAAATGAGTCTGGGTGTGTTCTTCTCCAGGCAATGGTAGAGGCAGAGCATGAAGCCTAGTCCTGTGGGTGTCTTTCAAAACTGCTTGCATCACAATTAGCCATAATTCCATTGGTTCAAAGCAAGCCACATGACCAACCCCAGAGTTATAATGGGAGAGCACCACAAGGGTAGATGGCAAAGGCCATGAACATAGGAGCGAATGGAGAGTTGGAACCATTAGTGTGATCACCCTGGGTAAACTTTGCAGACAGAAGAAGCCTGGTGTACAGGAAAGAGCATAGGGTAGGAAACGGAAGACGTGACTTTGAGTCCTAACTATGGTTTTGACAAGTCTTATGAAGTTTCTGAGTCATGGGTCCTCCAAATATAAGGTAAGCAGACATTTTAGGGCCTATGTAAATTAGAGATTATCTGTATTCTCTGATAAAGCCCATCTTATGATTCTTTTGATTACAGTATAATAGGTAACTTAGAGACAGAGACTAGCTAAGCATTGTGTTCTCCCTTTCTTATGATAATAATTACAAGGCATCAACAATACTAATAAATAACATTCGCTTCATACTAAATATGTCTGTTCTAAATGCTTTTTATTTATTAACGAATTTAATCTTCATAAAATTCTGTATCAGTTAGGAAAGGCTAGGTTATTCCTCAGTAAAAGATTACTCATCAATCTCAGTGACTTTGCATAGCAAAGGTTTACTTCTATCTCACATTTAAATGTCCAAAGGAGGTTAGTGGAGGATGGGAGTGGGAGTTTCTATTCCACATAGTTACTTGGGGATATGCACTACGATGCTCTGCCTTCTTGTAGCTGATTATCTGGAACATGAGGACTTCGTGTTGGCTGAAGAATAAAGAATAGAGTGATTTTTTCCAAATGTTTTGTCCCCAAACTGACGTACATCACCTCAGCTCACAGCCTATTGTCAAAGCCCGTTTCTCCTACGTTCAAGTGGGCTGAGAAATTTGGGGGACTACATGGATGTTGGGTGAGCAGTGAATATCTCTGCCACACAGTGCTGTGAAATGTAAACTCTAATTATCTCCATGTAACATATCAGAAACTAAGCTGCAGTGAGATGAAATACCTTTCATACACTAGTCATACAACTAGTGATGAAGAAGCTGAGCTGTGATCCAGGGTGTCTGGTTCCTGAGCCAAAATCTTAACCTCTGCAATATTGCCTCTTCAATATAACACCAGATGATAGCCACATATTGTCCACACAGTTTTAAGATCTCTGCCAAAACTGGAATTCTTTGCGGTTGTGAAGACACCTGCCCTCTGGGGCTGGAGTGGGTTTTTCAGATCTTCAGAGCTTAGAGTCAAATCCTGAAGTGACGGTTAGGAGACTGTTCCAGCAACAGTGGGTGGGGCTGAGAGTGAGGATCTGGTGTTCGTAAAACTTTCAAGAGAAATGAAGTTGTCTGTCCTGGTAGCAGTCCTTCTTATCCTCTCTTTGTCATATTTGGTTTAGAACGGTACTAGTTTCTCCTCAAGTTATTTATAGAGATTTTGTATAATTCAGTGTTTCCAAATTTTTTATATATAAGCTAAAGTGTTAGCAAGCAGGATTTTCAACTGAAAAACTTTATGTGGAATTGAGGATTTGCTCTTTTACACGTTCTCTTTCCTTGGTAGAGATATGTGGCCTGTCCTTTGAAAGGAAACAGTGACTTCAGTGTATTTTACTTAAGAGTAAGGGTCATAATATATTAGGCACATTTGTTCACATGAGAAAAGAAAATTCCTACATGGTAATGTGAGGGATTTTGGGACCTATTTAAAAGATTGTCCCAACAGTCTCCCATAGTCATAGCTACTCTACACATCTCAATGAGCCATTGAGGAGGTCAAAGGAGATGACAGATATTAAAGTGTCTATAACTGCTAAGGTCCTTTACCAAAATAAATTTTTTTTTTTACTCCTAACATTTCAGTAGTCCTGCATAAGCTGAGTGGAAAGTTGATCCCATTTCTCAGTTTATCAAAATCTGTTTCTTTGTTCCCAGGCACCTCCCACCTATGATGCTCTGGTACAGATGGAGTATCTTGACATGGTGTTGAATGAGTCTCTCAGATTATTCCCAGTTGCTGGTAGAATTGAAAGGACCTGTAAGAAAGATGTGGAACTTGGTGGGGTATTCATTCCCAAAGGAACAGTGGTGATGGTGCCATCCTTTGCTCTTCACCGAGACACAGAGCTCTGGCCACAACCTGAGGAGTTCCATCCAGAAAGGTACAAGGCCCTTGGGAAAGGGAACCCATGTTGGTTCAGGCTGGTTCAAGGATATTCTGATGCCTCTTAATATAGATGACAAACCTGTGATTGTACAATCTTTTATTTGTACATATTTTAATTTTTGTATGTTTTTTAATCTCATTACAAGCATGATCATTATTTGTTTTCAAAATTTTACAATCTTTAGACTAGATAAAAGAAAATTATAGCCATCCACAGTTCCAATACTTTAAGAGCAATCTCACTGATAGTGTGATGTATGTCTTTATGGACACGGTTCTTTGCATATATTAATTTTTAGAAATTAAAGTTGTGTTATATTGATTTTGAACTGCTTACTTTATGTAACAGTAAACTATAAACAACATCCATGTTACACTATATGTGTTTGTGTGTGTAATTTTATGCATATACCATTATTTGGTGAACGATTATCTGATTTTAGTAATATGGACTTTTGTTTCCTTTATGGTTTTCCTTACTGCTCTCTTCAGTTCTCTGATTTTGCCACAAACATTCCTACATTCTATTTTTTTAAACATTGTTACGATTCACTCTATGGAATTTTTTATGGAAAATTTTCGACATACACAAGTATATGTGTATTTGACATATACACACCGTATTCCCTACACACGTCTTTGGAACTGTTTTCATGCATCTATATGTGCCCAACAAAACTTACCCAGCAACCATCAACCCATGTCAGCTACCCAATCCACACACCGCTGCTACCCTTCTCCTAACTCTAATGTTATTTTAAGGCCCATCATATGAAATTTTCTTGAATGTTCTCCAAAATATGAAGGCTCTTTAAAGAATACATAACCACAATGTCATTATCACTTTTTCCAAATCCACATTTTTTCCTTAATATAATAAAAAATTGAACAATGAAATTTGGATAAAATATGAGTCTAACCTTGAAGGAATTTAAAGCCTAGTGGAATGCATAGACAAGGAAGTCAGTGATTATGCTATTGTAGAGTAGCATCTTACTCCTATGAAAATCATCTGATATGAGCTATTCTATGGGAGACAGAGAAAGAGAGAGACAGGGAGGAGTGGGGAAGGGGAGGAGGGAAAATGGCAATGAAAATAATGGGAGGCATTTCTCCTGCTTCTTTCCTCCATGCGCACATGACCAACATAAGTTAGCTCAGGTAGAGACCTACTTTTCCTTCAATCACTCTCATTTCTTTTTGTGAACATCTCACCACCCTGGAAACAGTTTTAATGTTTAAAGATAAATTTTGTTTTTACACAGCATTTGACTCATCTCCTCAATAAGACTGAAAGCTCCTATAGAGTCATGGGAATGGAAAGGATCTGTAGCTTTTAACTGTCTCAGTAAAATACCGATAGCAGGATGTCAATGACTACCCACAAGGGAATCTTGTATACCATTGGTTGAGGAGTCTAAGTGAAAACTCCAAACCTGTAGTTCTTGTGCTTTTTATGTTTCAATAACTTGTTTTCATCTACTATTGTGGATCCAGGTTCAGCAAGGAGAACAAGGACAGCATAAATCCTTATATATATATGCCCTTTGGAAATGGACCCCGAAACTGCATTGGCATGAGGTTTGCTCTGATGAACATGAAAGTTGCTGTTGTCAGAGTGCTGCAGAACTTCTCCTTCAAACCTTGTAAAGAAACACAGGTCAGACAGTTAACTTCCTACATAAATAATGTTTTATTGGGAGGTTTTTTTTTTCCTTTTTAACTGAAGGAGTATCTCTCTACATATATATATATATACATATATATATATTCTACATATATATATTTATTTAATATATATTTTTATATATATTTATATTTATATACTTATATATATTTATTTAATATATATTTTTATATATATTTATATTTATATACTTATATATATTTATAAATATATATTTTTATATATTCATATATATTTATTTTATATATATATATAGATAGATATATAAAAGAATGTATTCTATTCAAATAGTAATTCATTCTATTGGCCAGAGAATCTATTTTGAACCATCTGTGAACTTTAGGGATCCTTTGTTCTGGATTGCTAAGACTGTGGCTTTATAAAGACCTAAATGTAAAAGTCAGGTAGAGTCAACGCAGTTAGCGTGTGTGATTATGCCCAGTACTTTGAAGCTGAGCAAAGTTTTAAATTTGGTTTCAAGTCCCCTGGAAGGAAGGGGAAGTGTGCACAGTCAAGACGTGCAGTGACTACCACGTCATGACTTTTGAAGGATGATCTTTTCCACCAGAACCTACTAAAGCTTCATGACAGTGGTTTTCAACCACTCTCTTTATAATGAAATAACCAGGGGGCTTTAAAAAGTCCTTATGCCAAGGAAAAGGGGGGGTGAGGGTAAGGCACAAAGGGGGAAGTGGCGTACCCACAACATGACTAACAAAAATGTACAACTGAAATCTCACAAGGTTGTAATCTATCATAACATTAGTAAAAAAAAAAAAAATCCTTATGCCTAGATTGTCTCAGAAATTGTAAAATAATTCTCCCAGAATGTGGCTTAAAAGCATCCCCATAGTTTCTCATGTGCAGCCTAGGTTGAGAATCATGGATTGAAAGCATTTATACCAGATGTGAGGGTCTTCCATAGTCCAGGGTCATCCTGCCTCTTTGATCTCACCTTCCAGGAACGCTGCTCCAGTCTGTCTTTTATGTCCTAATAATGACTCAACGAATATTCTTCCTGCTTTTCTCCACATTATGTTCTCACCTTTCAAGTCCTCCTTCAATACCCAAGCCCCTCCATGGAGTCTTCCACTCACAGTCTAGAGCCCACCCTCTCCTCTGCTCTATTATTAGTTACTGCAGGCTGATGTCATTGGTCAGACCACCTAACTTTATACTTTGTCCTGAAACAAGCCAGTTTTGTTCTCTATGTTTTCTTTGTACCTATGAATATCTTTAACTTTAGCACCTCACATTATTGCTTTCATAGACTACCAACGGTGCCTTGCAGTCATCCAGTAAATGATTAAGGAGTAGTTTGAAGTTGATTTACAGCTCTTGGAGACAAATTTTAAACAATTTTAATTTGAAAAATTTAACAACTGACATTTGTGTATGTGCATATTGTGTGTGTCTGTTTGCAGAGGATACGTATGCCATTTGAAATTATAAAATAACGAGGTTTTATATTTATGGAAAGATGTGGAATCTGTCCTCTGGAGAACAGAACAGAAGACATCGACTCATATCAAGCAAGGCCCTGTGATAAGGCTTATTTCTGTGACTTATGCATTTAATATACAGTTCCTTCTCTTAAGTATGCTTTCTTCAGGTAGAGGAGGATAGAGATACTTTCCATCTCATTTGTGACTTTAGGGAAGCTGTGTGGCAGTCCTGTAAGTGTGAACCAACAGGAGACCAAGTCCTGAGAAAAAACAGGTCTCTCATACACATGTGATGGAGCAGACACTCCCTGTGAGCTCCCAGTCATCCACAGGCTGGTGCTTCTCACCCTTCATGGCAATTTACTGGTATTTTATCAACTGAGTTCAGAAGGTTGCTCTTCTGCTGGGTCCCACAGCACTGAAGGGGTGACTGAGTGAGAATGGAGCTAAAAGTATCAAAACACTGTAGGTCTTCAGAACTTCACCATCTGCCCTGCACATGGGAGCCAAGAGATGTTAGAGAATAGGCAAAATGCTTCACAAAGACCTCTTCTCACCATGAAGCTGGATGAGTTCCAATGGAAGAGGTGACTGGACTCTTTAGAAAGTCAAGGATGGTTTATACAACAAAAAGGTGTAAGGCCCATTCAGGATTACATTGCAAGTGCTAATGTATACAAAATTAATTCTATATGGCTTTTAAAAATAGTTTGCTATAATGCTTCAGATCCTGGCTTAAATTTTAAATGTTCATCTCTTTTATTTAAAATGTAGATCTAAAAGGAATACAAACCAGAATGATTTAGTGTCCAGCCTGGTGCAGAATACATGTTCAATAGATAATTTTTTGAATGAATGGACAGCTAAAACTTTCAGTATCCAATCTGACCCAGCTTATAGAATCAATGTAAATAATCAAAGATACATGACACTAAAATTAATGTCCACATGTTTGTGAAGCATTATTTTCCTTAATGTAGCTTGTATACTTTGCTTCTGTTCTTGGTGGGACTTCATTACTCAGCTCTCATGTGCTTTTTAACTGTTTCAGATTCCCCTGAAATTAGTCACTTATGGATTTCTTCAACCAGAAAAACCAATTGTTCTAAAAGTTGAGTCCAGAGCTGGGAGTGGAGCCTGACTTTCCCTGAGGTCTTCTGCTTTGGTCTTCAAGGAAGCTATATCCCAGAACAGGAGAGACCTCGATTTACTTTGTGAATGAAATCCAGAATAAAGATTATCTTAACCTACTCCACTTGATGGATGCCTATGGATTCTTACATTCATTGAGCTTTCTCAGTGTCTACTTAGAGTATCACATGTTTGTGTGATATAAAGGGGGGGACAAAGTAAGTGCCAGATATGCCAGATATGTGGACTCAGCTTATCTGATTCTCCATTCACCCCCAGTTAGTACCATCTACTCTTCCTAAGCACTGATCAAGAATAAAACTTTCTCAACAATTTTATCAACAAACTTTAATGAAAACAAGAATTATTGTAGTGATTGTAGTAGAGACATTTATATCACATTTTCATTTTGAATATTCTATAAAGTTTTATATTAAACAAGTTTATAAACATCTGTTTACAAAAGTATTATCTGATGCCTTCATACATATTAGGGAGAATCTATAGAACTGAATCTGTGATCCAGTAACTAAAGATTTTCAACCATCACAATCACTGGTTGAGTGGGGCCTTTTTCAGGGCTCCCATTTGATTTTTAAGGTATGTGAGAGTTAATCCACCATGACTTTGCATCGTGCTTGGAAAGTGTATTCATAGTTTAATTCTCCAATTTTGGGGGCGCATATTTTTTATAACTCTCATCCGAGGCACTTATATTATTAGTTTTGATTAAATGTTTTTATCGTACCTCCCATGACTTTGTTGATGGTTGGCAACATGTTTTCTTATACCTCTTTGCACTTTATCCCCAGCTCCCAACTGTTTTAACACAACGGAGATGAAATAAGGAATGGTTGATAGGTCAGTTGATTGGGCATAGAGGCTACAAATATTCATCAGTCTCAGTGGGTATCAGCAGGTGCAAAGTTCTTCTTTTTCCTTTTCTGCCCCTTCCCTCACCTTCCTTCTTCTCCCTTCCCTTCCCTCCTTTTCCCTTTCTGGATAATTCAATCCTAAAGCCAGTAGGTGGCACACAGCAAGGTGAGCAGCCTCACATTGGGAGATGGGAGCAAAGAAGGGAGTCAAAGTGTCTCCAAGTCAGAGACCAAGTAGTGTGGGGAGGCTGTGCACATTGAGGGGTAGTTTGGAACGAGTGTGGGAGCCCAAGCAAGGTGTGAAGGGGGTCCCTGTGGAAAGATGGTATGGCAAGAGAAGCCAGAGCCTCAATAGGGTGTGGAGAACAAAAGTAGGGTGTGGAGGGTGTGATGAGTGGAAAGTGATAGAGTCAGGATTGGCCATATAAAGGGGGATTGATCAAATAAGTAATTATATTAAGGATGACGAGGGCCAGGTTTCTCACTGTTGGAGAATAGAGTCTCTGACTGTAAAAGGGAGAAAATCAGAATGAACCCTGTGGTATCAGAGATTGGAACTGAATGTATCAGTGTAAATTCATGCTTTTCTTTATAGATAGATTATTGATACATAATAGATAGTTAGGGGTGTGCATGTGTGTAGAAATGAAAACTATCTTCCCTACTTATCTCTACTGTTGTGGCTTAGAAACAGTGACACCCTAATAGCAGTGAGTATACCTGGTGCCCACATCTTGCCTTATAAATACCATTTTCCACTACAAGGAACTAGGACTCCTTAGAGAATTGGCTTATTCCAGGACTGGGATGAAGAAAGCACAAGATGAACCTCAAACATCTTGTTGTGCTAGAGAGCAAGAGAATGCTAAACAGTGATGGGGAGATGTCAACAAGACATGGAGGCCAGCCCTAGGGGCTTCCACTGACCAAATCGGGCAGTTTAACAATCATAATAAAGAAGTTCTCACTGCATGATCAGTGACCCATTGAATAAAAAGGGAAAATGTGTACATACATAAATATATAAATAAGTGGATAATTTGTAGTTCAACAAGGACATTTACACAGTTTCAAAATACTGCTGCTCAAAATACCCATTAATTACCAGGAAGAAGGGTAGCTTCACAGTAGAAAAACCTTGCAGATAGCCCCTTAATCAAGTGGTCAGAGAGAGCTTCACTAGAAATGGGATAAATTGATTGAGTGTCACCTGATGGGACTCAGTGAGAACTCAGCATTACCTCTGTGATAGTCCTGCCAAGGAGAAAAACCTGAAAGAAATCCTAAAAGAAGTCAGACAAACCCAAACTGAGGAATGTTCTACTCATGGTCTGTAATTGGGTTGTAATCTTCAAAGACTAAAAGTCATGAAACCCAAAAGTGTTCCAGATCCAAGGAGATTAAATAGAGATGACGTCAAATCACAACAGATGGGCAGGGTTCTTCTTCTGCTGTAAAGGACATTGTTGGGACAACCAAGAGGATTCAATGGGCTCTGAGGGTTAGATGGCAGTAATGTAGCAGCATTAAGTTCCTGACTTTGGTGGTCATGTTGTGGTAATGTAGGAGAATATCCTTGTTTGTAGGAAATACAGAGGTTTATGAAATAACCAGATCTGCAATTTATTCTGACACGATTTAGGAAAATAGTTCTTTGAAGAGATCTTAGTAAGTTTGTGATTGTTTGTGGGGGTAAGAGCCACAAAAGAACCTTTTGGCTTATACAGTTCTCCCCCTCTCTCACTTTAATTTTACTTGTACTGTTTTAATATAAGGAAGCATCACTACAGAGTGATTGAGAGATGGAGGGCTCTGTAGCTGGAGGTCCTGGGTTGAATCCCAGCTCAGTCCATCACTGAGTCTAGAGCAATCAGTGGCTTTGGGAAAATGCTTAAATTCCCAGGTGATGTGGTTTTAGTTGACCAAGGTGATTCTCCAGAGAATGGGGCATCTCTGAGCTAGTAAGAGCCAATACTCCCAGCAATTGGGGATGGGTACACAGCCCAATGAAAGGGGTATGGTACCTCCCTACACTACATACACTTACTAGTACAACCTTTAGCAAGTTACTTAAAACCTTCATATGTTAGTACTTAGTGCCTCAGAGTACCCATCTGCAAAATAGGGGCATAATGACAGCACCTATCTCAAGTTACAATGGAATCAGATGATGTTTGTGAAGTATATATGACATAGACCACCGAGCATGCAGTGAGCACTTAACAAATGTCAGCTATTATTTTGATTGACATATTATCCTGAGACCTCAGGAGGCCAATATCGGTTTTGAAATTTGGGCTCCACAATTCTCAAGTCCAGCTTCATCTACCATTTCAGAAAATCATTGCATACATCTCTCATTGAGATTTAAGTATGAAATCTTTGGTGTCACAAATGATGCTGTTTAATAAGTTCCCTAAGAACACTATACACATCCCCATTTTAGGAGTGCCTTTGTCATCACAGCTAAGCATGGGAAACACTGAGGAGGATGTGCTGCAGTGACTCAAGGGAAACGCTCCCACTGCATTCATGTGGGCCCTCTGCTGCCCTCCCTTAGAATTGCTTTTCTGGTCCCAGAGTTCCGACAAGTGTTGCTGGTCATGTTCAGGTTGTACGGTGTTCAGGATACATGAAATGCTTAGATGAGATAGGTTTATCTATTCAAGGGTCAGAAATAGGCAGCACCACAGAATTGTCAGTTTTATGTTGCTTAATTCAGTGATTTACTTCCTCTCCTTGACTGGCTGGCTGAAAACTTCTGCAGAGCACATGCTTGCTTATGGGGTTGGAAGGTCATCAGTTGGTTATCTAAACTTCCATATTCGCTTCTTTAGGCCAAGAATTTTCCTGTCAAAATAAAATCTAATTTGAGCATACCAAAAGTTCTTGTGAGTGTAACAGTGTAAATGTATATGAATGTATATATCATTCTACACATCATCTATCTGTCTATCTATCTGTCTCTATCACTCAGTCATCTATCTATATTTATCCATTACTCCATCATTTATATCTATCTATATATCTGTCTATTTAGCTATCTATTATCATCTGTGTATCTATCAAGTAAGACAGAAATGTCCTAAGAGACCCAGGTATGGTATTTCAACCCCTGTTATTTGAGTCTTTCCAACTCAGACCTATGAAGAAAACCTTCAAGATACCTTTACTCTAGCCTGTCTATGATCTCATGGGAAACTCCAAGCAAGAACTGCCCAGCTGAACCTAGTCAACCCAAGATTCACATGCAAAATAAAATATCCTTACTGTTTACTCTTTTAGGGTGTTCTATTATGCCACAATAGATAAATGGAACATCTCTTCTTCATTTCAGGTAGAATAAGATATATAGGACCCAGAAGGGAGATGAGAACTCAGGGAAACTGGAGAAAGGAATAAACTTTTAAGTTACTATGAATCACAGAAAGCAGCAGAGGGGTAGTGCGTCAACTCAGGGGAAGTAGTGCTGGGGTGTAAGCAGGATGACACTAAGAATCATGATAAAATAAATAGACAAGAATGAAGCCAGAGTTGAGGTAATATCTACCGTGACCACTTCAAGGCTGAAAATTGGGCAGAAATAGAGAATTGCCTTTTAACCTTATCTGTTTTCAGGTGGCCAGATAACAATGCAGTGATTTTTCCCTGCAGTTAGAACATTTGGAAAACCCTAGGCAAAAGATGAACTGTAACTGGAATGGGTGACCAATGAGAACTGGACTCAGACTTAGCCTGGTATACATTGCAATTTTTTTGTCTTTAAAAACCCAACCACCCTAGTCTGAGGGGTCTACTTGTGGGTTGAGGTATATGTCCCTGATTTGTAAACCTTTTAAATAAAGTCTCTCTTTTCTTTAAAACTTTATATGTTTGTTTTGTAAAGCTGTTCATTTCAGTTGACATTTCCGGTGACAGGGAGGGGATGTGAAGCTCCTACCTGATTGTTTCCTGGTGACCACTAGACACTGCATGCCAGCATGTATGGAGCCCCTTGTCTTCTCCTCTGCATCTCTGTTGGCCTCAGGGAGAGGATAAAGTTATGGACCTCTCAAATCCTTGATGTCCCATCCTTTGGTGGAGTCTGAAGGTTTCTTTAAGGAGGGGAATCACTCAGGAGGTGAATTGCTCAATTTCAGGTTTCCTTAAGAGGGGAAATCCCTCAACTTCAGGTTTGTTTAAGGTTCAGCTGGCTTAAAGGAAAGTTGCTCCATTCAGAGATGTGTCTCAATTTAGAATGGGC